GGGGAAGGAAACAGCCACTGGGAGGGAACAGCCACCTGGAGATTATTTCTGCCAAGGCAGGAACCTCAAAGCCAGGGCTGGACCTGTTGCCACCTCCTGACTGGCAGAAATGCTGTGCCAGGATATCACCAATGGTTTAGAAGATGCCCCCACGCTCTCCCTGAGATATAACAGCCCAAACCAACCCCCTCCCTGTGGAAGCTGTTCCCCTTTTCCAGCTGCACACAGCAGAGCTCTCTGGATGCTGTGGGATTCTGACTCTGGAGGAGATGGGGAGAAGGAAGAGATTTGTGCTGGGGACCAGAGTCACTCTCAGAGAGCTGAACTGGTCATTTCTACCCCCAGCACTGACCAGGCAGCTCTTGGGTCAGGCTGCTCCCAGGCCTTTGATCGTGCCACCAGTCTGAAAGCAAACATGGGTTCTGTGAGGGGTTTTTGGCAGTGTTCTGTGGGATTTGTTCATTTATGTGAAGCAGGAGGGACACGCACTGTGTGCTCTGTCACCCCTGTGCTTCACATCTCCCCAAGGGAAGAGGAACAAAAAGCCCCACACTGCCTTGGAGAAGGGACATCCCAAACTCTCAGTGCTCAGCAGGCAGTGCCCCTTCCCTGGGGTTCTCAGGGCAGGTCCCTCAGCAGGGTGAGACCTCCCCCAAAGGAAGGCAGCAGCCAGCACCCCTCCAGAGATCCCCTCCAGAGATCCCCTCCAGAGAGAGACCCCCCTCCAGAGAGAGATCCCCAGAGAGAGATCCCCCTCCAGAGAGAGATCCCCTCCAGAGAGAGAGAGATCACCCTCCAGAGAGAGAGATCCCCCTCCAGAGAGAGATCCCCTCCAGAGAGAGAGAGATCACCCTCCAGAGAGAGAGATCCCCCTCCAGAGAGAGATCCCCTCCAGAGAGAGAGAGATCACCCTCCAGAGAGAGAGATCCCCCTCCAGAGAGAGATCCCCTCCAGAGAGAGAGAGATCACCCTCCAGAGAGAGAGATCCCCCTCCAGAGAGAGATCCCCTCCAGAGAGAGAGAGATCACCCTCCAGAGAGAGAGATCCCCCTCCAGAGAGAGATCCCCTCCAGAGAGAGAGAGATCACCCTCCAGAGAGAGAGATCCCCCTCCAGAGAGAGATCCCCTCCAGAGAGAGAGAGATCACCCTCCAGAGAGAGAGATCCCCCTCCAGAGAGAGATCCCCTCCAGAGAGACACAGGACCTCCGCCACAGAGAGAGATCCCCCTCCAGAGAGAGAGAGATCCCCCTCCAGAGAGAGAGAGATCCCCCTCCAGAGAGAGAGAGATCCCCCTCCAGAGATCCCCTCCTCTGCTCGTGGTGCTGGAATCTGAGCAGCCCACAGCACAACGTGACTAAGGCCTGGCACATGTTTGCTCTCTCTCCTTCTCCCCGGGGAGAGGCGTGCAGCAGATTATATATAGCCCAGTGTGTGTCTCTGGGTATTTATGCTACAGGAGGGAAGGTCACAGCAAGGTGCAGAGCACAGAGGTGCCTGGCAGCTCCCAGCTCCCTGGAATCCTGTTCCCATGGGTCAGACCAGCCTGTCTCCCACAAAGAGATGTCCCCCAGCCCCTACCTGGATCTTTGGAGACCTCTGGGGCTGTTCTGAGCTGTGCCTGCAGTGAGCAGGTCTGTGCTGCACAGCTCCCTGTGCCTTGGGCTCCTTCCACACCTCTGCTACAGGAGGCTGCAGAGGGGCCCCAACGTGGGAAAAAGTTAAGAAGAGTTAATTCAGAGCACGAGCTCTTCAGAGCAGGGATCTGTCTCCAGAGCCAGCAGGAGGCTGGTTTTCTCTAAGGCATCCAGCTTTTTAAATGGAATCTGCCTTTGAATCCTCTTGGAAATAAGCCCCTGGTTTTGCACAGTCTTCTTACAGGAGTTTTCTACTCCCTACTAGGCAGAAATCACAGACAACCCCAGAGGGACCACTCCAGGCTGGAAGCTCTGCCAAGGAGTGGGTTTTGTCCTTGCCACCTGCATTTTGCAGAGAGACAGAAGACACCAGTCCTGCCCCTGCCCAGGTCAGAGGGGGTGTGAGTGGCACGTGCCCACCAGCCCCACACAAGGCCCAGACACCCACCAGGCTCAGGGGCCTCTCAGAGGATTTAAGATGAACCAACTGACATCTTCCCAAGGGAACAGCAGGGGCATGAAGAAAGAGATGCTGCCAGTTCCTCTCTGCTGGTTCCACCCTGCTCTGAGAACAAAGGAGTGATCTCCCAGGCCAGGTGAACCACCTTTCCTGTGTGCCTGACCAGTGTGATCCCAGCCAGAGCCCTGGAGGGACCAGGGCTGGGCCCACAGCAGCAGCTCACAGAGAAGACCCTCAGCTTTCCCAAGCTGTGACTGCCACCCTCCTCTTCCAGCAGCCAGAGTGAAGGGTAAGCTCAGCTCCACTGCCTCTGCAGCTCCCCAGGCAGCAGCTCCCCCTTCCCCCCAGCACTGCCCGGGCCCTTCATCCTCACAGTCAGCAGAATCCATTTTTGCCCACGCTGCTGAGGAGCCCACAGCCACCCCTGGGCTGGAAAAATCCCTCTGCCTGCCCAGCTTGTCTTTCCTGGCCACTGGAATCCTCCAGCGACACCAGGTTCTGGGTTTATCTGTGGTGGATAATTTGTCTTCTCCTTCACCAAAGCCAATTCCTTTTTTCAATAAAAGACCCATCAATATTCCGTGTCATTCAGGGACAGCTGTTAGAAGGAATGGGCCAGGCATAATTTTGTTTCAAAACCTGACTGTAGCCTCAAAGTGGCAATTACCATTAGTAAATTGATGGGAAAATGCAATTTGTTTACTAACAAGATCCAGATGATGGAGTGTGTGAGTCTACTCTCTAGGACTCTCTACAACAGGAATTTGCTCAGGAAAATAAAAATACTTTGTTCCTTTCAAAGCCTTTCAACCAGCCAGCTCCAGGTATTTTCCAAGGATCAGTTAAACTTGACAATACTCCAGGCAAGGAGGGGAAAGACACGTAACAAAACCACTGGGATGAGCACAGAGACCAACCCACACCTGCAGCAAAACTTTG